CCTACTCCCAATACTTAGGTAATTCGATATTTCCAGGAGATTGCTGCAGTGTGACTTCTGCCTCCTCCAGCTTCACCCTCCCTGTGTGTGTGTGTGTGTGTGTGTAATTACCTATGTGTAGTTACAGGATGAGAGCTACGCTCGTGGTGTCCCGTCTTCTCAGCACTCTTTGTCATATAATGCTTTGAAACTACTGATGGTCTTGGCCTCCACCACCTTCTCACCTAACTTGTTCCAACCGTCTACCACTCTGTTTGCGAAAGTGAATTTTCTTATATTTCTTCAACATCTTTGTTTAGCTAGTTTAAATCTATGACCTCTTGTTCTTGAAGTTCCAGGTCTCAGGAAATCTTCCCTATCGATTTTATCAATTCCTGTTACTATTTTGTACGTAGTGATCATATCACCTCTTTTTCTTCTGTCTTCCAGCTGACAACGCTAATGCTACCTGACTCATCAAAATGCCTCCAATATAACTCATGTATCACTAACTATAGGCACAATGTTACTATTATCAACATCCTGGTCACAAAATCCTGAATATAAATAATTTTTGCAAAAGTTTATTTTCTAAAAAAGCATGAAGTAGTTTTGTGATGCATAGATGCACCAAACAATGGCAGAGTGCAGTGGCTAACCTGCATCAGCTGTGAACATCATAAACAGCATTGTGTTAACTCATATCTCAACATTGTACATAGTCTTTATTATAGTCAGCATCTTCTATATTATCATCACAAAATAATAGCAGTTACTTATTTTTAATTATTTTTAAGCAATGCTGTGGTCACAAACTGAACAGCAGTGCTTGGTTACTTACTCAGTACTGAGGCCTTCACACCCAGTAACAATGTCTATGATTTGTTTTTCTTTCAAAATGGTGTCTGTTTACTGCAGGTCTGAAGAAGCAAATGTGAGCCCCTTGTACCCGCAGGAGTGTTAAAACCTTACGCTATACCCTAAAACTTCATATAATGGGATGTGCAGTTTGATCTATTTTAGCTACTTCATCATATGACGGGATGTGCGGTCTGATCTTTTTTACCTACCCTATCATATAATGGGATGAGCAGTTGAAGGATTAACACTTTTGTTCGGGACGGACATATATGACATCCATAATTAACCCCTTAACTGCGTTGCCTCCAAATGTGACACCCCCGCAGTGCACAGGAAATAAATTCTCTGGAAAAAATTATTTTTTCTTTTTAAAGTGTCAAAAACCCTTCCCTCAGTATAGGTATGCAAAAAAAAAGTCAAAATTGTACTTACTTTGGCTGCTATGGGGTCCGGAAGTTGGGGCGTGACGTCATCATTCCCCGTGCGCCCGTGCCATAAGCTCTCGGGGGTGGTGGGGCGCTCGGGGCGGGGTGCGCGAGATGCCGCGAATATATTTTCGTTCATTTTTTGCGCACCTTTCCAAATACATTTTTATTGTTTTTATGTGCCAATCCAATGTATAATGAACACATACACTATAATATCGCAGTACAACATCCGTACTGTCCGTAGACACTGTGTTACGTGCATGAAACTTGTGTACACATATGCAGCACATATTTAATATGTATCATGCTAATTTGTGTATATATACAATCTATTTACACACTATACACTGTCACACACTATATACATTCACCATCAACACGTTCAGAACACCGCGAGTGAGAGCTGCCACACCCAGCCAGCCCTCCCTCACTTCTCCAACATTGTATTCGCCAACATTGCCCCTCCCATCATACAGTTATTCACACCAATGTTTCATGTTCATTTACATATATTTACAACATATGTACTCACTATACACTGTCACACACTATATACATTTACCATCAACACATTCAGAACATCGCGTAGCAGCTGCTTCGTATGGGCCAATAGCAGCTGCCTCGTATGGGCCAATATCAGCTGCCTCGTATGGGCCAATAGCAGCTGCCCCGTATGGGCCAATAGCAGCTGCCTCGTATGGGCCAATAGCAGCTGCCTCGTATGGGCCAATAGCAGCTGCCTCGTATGGGCCAATAGCAGCTGCCTCGTATGGGCCAATAGCAGCTGCCGCATATGGGCTAATAGGAGCTGCCGCATATGGGCTAATAGGAGCTGCCTCGTATGGGCCAATAGGAGCATTTGACCATGAACACATTCAGAACACCTCGAGTGAGAGCAGCCACACCCAGCCAGTCTCCCTCACTCCAACATCTTACTCGCCAACATTGCTCCTCCCACCATATTGCTATAGTTCTTATTACACATGTTCTATATACCTATCTACATGTTTTATTTACCAGAACTATGCAAGTAAGCCAGTATTGTGTCCAAACAGTACAGTGGCCACCATACACTGCATGAAAAATCACACAGCAGACGATGCTACGATTACGTCACCTCCCTCACCAAAATAGCTCCTCTCAACATTCTCCTGTTGCTGTTCTTACACTACACACACTATATATATCCATGTACATATGTGTTGCCCATAGCGAACCACTAAGCTAGTATGGTGAGCAAAACAAGAGTGGCAGCCACACACACACACACACAATGAGGCTACCTCAATTCTCGCCCTCCCTCCCTCATCAAAATTCCTCTTTCCACAATACTACGCACAACGCTAATTATAACCACAATCCTGCTATTATCACAATCCTGGTCACTAATTCCTGTAAATGAATAATTGACCACACGTTTATTTTGAAAAGGAACCTAAGAAATCATTAGAAGATTCCTAGATGAACGAAATAATGCTGTGGTGCTGTGAACATCGTGAACAGCAGTGAATCACTGATATTTGAACATTGTACCCAGTCATTATCACACTCAGGCTCTAATATAACACTATCATAGCTAAATAATACAAGTTATATTTATATTTTGACATTATTAGGCGATGCTGTGGTCACATGTTGAACAGCAGTGCTGTGCGCTCATGCTGCGAGCGCCAGCCTTGGTTGCTCACACACTACTGAGGCTCCCACACCCGGGAATGTAGACCACAATTTTTTTTAAAGATGGCGTCTGTTTACAAGAGCCCTGAGGATGCTGATGTGAACCCCATGTAGCCGCGGGAGTTTTGAATGGAATGTGAAAAATACAAATACCCAGAGGCGCGTTGCGCAAATCAGACGTGAGCCTGCAGGCGCGTTGCGCAAATCAGACGTGAGCCTGCAGGCGCGTTGCGCAGTTTAAGGGTTAACTCTGTGGATGTGCGGGAGGGATGTATATGAAATGCAAATTTAATATATTTGTTAAAATTAAATTTTTTTATCCGATCATATTGGGACGTGTTTTAAACTTTGTGCCAATGTTTTCCCGTTTACTGTTAGGGGGCCATGTGGCATCAAGGCATCGGTAGGCCTCGTAGGCCTCAATGTTGATGGGCATTGCAGGTGCACCAACAATGTTGATGGGCATTATGAAGTTGCCAGTTATGAGAATGTACTGGCAAACAGGTAAAATGTGATATGTACCTTGTTTCAATACTTCTATGACTTTTATACTTTTTATTTCGTAACACAAAAATTGACGTTATCAAACTAAAAGATTATACACATTCATGTGCAGGTGTAGTGGGTGTGCAAATGCATGCTCACTCATGGCTAATGCTTGGCTGACTTTCAACTTTGCTGCGGGGGGTGTGGGACTGGTATTTTGGAACTTATATGCCTATACCCCTGTAGGGAATTCTGATGTGAACAAATTAATACCAAAATGAATGACATAGCACGAGAATTGAGGTGATAATTCCGAAAAGAGCAGACACATTTTGGTGGAGTTGCACGTTCATAGGTAACCCTCGTCCGATTTGCAAGTTTGGTGGAGGTGGTACGTTGAGCTTTTGGATATTTATATATAGTATATATTTCTGTAGGGAATTTTATTGCGAACAAAAAGATACCAAAATGAATGATGTAACACGAAAATTAGCATTATCAAACTAAAAACATTAAACACATTTGTGTGCAGGTGTAGTGGGTGTGCAAATGTGTGCTCGCTCACCGCTAACGCTTGGCTGACTTTCAACTTTGCTGCGGGTTGGCGCTGGAATTTGTGAGTTTGGTGCAAGGCTTTTGGACTTATGTATATATCCCTGTATGGAATTCTATGGCGAACAAGAATGAACGCCATAACACGAATAGTGAGGTGAGAAAACTGAAAAGGGTTTATATATTTGGGTTGGGCCGCGAGCTCCCAGGAAATGCTTGGCACACCTAGAGGTATGCTAGGGAGCGTGCGCTGAGGGGGGGAAAGTGTTAACACTTTGGCGCATTCCAGCAGACCGTCGTTGTCACCAATATTATTAATCACACCGCACCCGTGCCCCTCTCGGGAGTCACGAGAAAAAATATTTGTATAAAATCCATTTATTATCTGATCAACTTGGGAATAGTTTACAAATGTTTGCCATGAAATTTACGTTTTCTCTAATAGCCGAAGAGCTTATTAAAGAGAACGGCGTGGCAGTGAATCATCGTGGTAAAACAATTGTATTATTGACACGACGAGTATAATCGACGTAGTTTTTATATATGTTGCTGGTCGAACGCATCCTTATGTGACCTTTAATACCTATGTTCTTATAGAACATTCTATTGCGAGCACATTGGTACAAAAATGAAATACATACATCGACAAATAATGTCAGGACAGTGAATTGAATATACACTTTTCAAAGCGAGTTTCGCCGATATGCCGCCGCGGGTAACACTTCGGCCACTTCCCACACTGTTTTGGGTGGGCTACGACATTGAATCTATATTTATATGCATATGTCCGTGTAGAGAATTTTATTGCGATTCCAATGATACCACAATTAGCGATGTAAGACAACTGTAGGTTTCGCAACCATTAAGAGAGTGGAAACATTTTGTTGCTGTTTGGCGCTCTCGGCGAGTGATCTGAATAGTTTTTTATTTGGTGTTGATAGTCCTTATGCTTTGGCGGCATTTTATAGGTATGTTCTTATCGACAATTTTATTGCGAACACAGTGATCGTAAATTTAAATACGTGCGCCTTCAATTATTGTCAGGACAGTCAAAAGAGTGTACACTTTTTCGGTCTTACCGTGAAGGCGCGCGAACCGCCGAAAGCGCATAGGGTATGATTTTTTTTTGAACGCCGTGAGCGCGAAAGTGTTAAGCTAGATCAACTATAGAGTACACGTAGCATGTACACTATAATAACACAACAGTATAGTCTAGCTCTAGTCCTTATTCAGAGGTACACAAACATTACTTAATCCTAAGGTAGAGACTTACCTTCCATTCTGAGGTAAAATTTTGCATATCATCAGTGCACAGTGTGTGCTCAGCTCCTAGGAAGAGGACCTGAAGCTCCTGTACTGTGGTAAGAAGATTAAAGCTGTTCTTTAGCATCACCTCCCAGATCTCCACTGTCGTTCCACCAAACAGAGACTGCAGCACCTGCAAATAGAAAACAAATAAGATTTATAATTTATATTAAACTTATTTAACTCTTAACCACTGCACTGCTCTGCATTAACCCCTAAACTGTGCAACGCACCTGCAGGCCCGCACATCTGGTTTGTGCAACGCGCCCCCAGGTATTTGTATTTTTCACGTTCTATTCAAAACTGGCGCACGGTGACCCGGGTATGAAATGGATGCCTTGGGGCCGAAGTGATCATCCGCCATCTTGAAAAAAATTACCAGCATGCCCCGCGACCGTGGGAAGCCTCAGTTTCAAAGCAGCAACCATGTATGACACATCGTCTACGAGCTCCCGCTCCACGGTGACCCGCGGTCATGGAAAATGACTCTCCGAGAAGAAGATACGCGACATTTTGTATGATGACGGTGCTATGGTTGAATACCTAAACTATGATCCAGAGAAAGGCCTTACACAAAGGTCTGATACGAGTGAGGGAGAGACTGAGGTAGACGATGTGGTGAGCGTGTATGGTACACGTGCCTTGCCCGGCCTGCCTCGCCGCCCTGGGGTCAACACCGTTATCATCACCACCACCATATGTATGTTCCCAGACACAAGTATATTTAGTGACAGTACATACAATGAATCGTTCTCGGGCTTCAGTGACATAGGCCCCAATACGAGTAGTGCAGACGACCCAAGTACGAGCAGTGAGGGTGTTACCAGGCGGGGTTTTGCTGCTTCAGCAACACGTCACGGCAGGCGGCAGCGTGTCTCACAGCAACGGGACAATGACGACGGTGGCCCCTTAACATCAGGTATTTGTGGTAGGCCTACGGTATGTAAATCTGCCTCATCGCCTAGCATACCCTCACGGAGCTCCAGCAGCAGACGACGTAGCTGAGTGTTTGGTGCTTGTGGTGGTGTTGGCCGTGGTGTTGGAGCCAACACCAAACCCCCGGGTGTACTTGTGTGGGAGGATTGTGCCACATATGTCCCTCACATACCAATGTTTGATGCTATCGATTTTGGTGTTGCACCATTATTCCCATATACCGGTGATGATATGGCAGAAATGGAATATTTCCAGGCATATTTCGACAATGAATTCATGACGCATCTTGTGACAAGAGACAAACAGGTTCGCTCACAGCCTCATAGATGCCAGCATTTTACCTGACTCATGTCTCACGCGATAGGACACGACAGTTGATGAAATGTACGTGTTTCTGGCACTAAGCATTATGATGAAGCACTCCGAGAAAGCTGTCGTCCAGGATTATTGGAGCAAAGACAGCCTAGTTCCATCGCCCATGTTCAACCAGTATATGTCGCGTGATAGGTTAATCTTGATTCTCAGGTACCTGCAGTTCGAGAATAATGCAAATGTGGACAGGAACGACAGACTGTGGAAGGTACAGAAGGTGTTCAGTGACATGACAGGGACGTTCAGGGATTATTTTGTACCTGGACAGAATGTGGTTATCGACGAATTGCTAATACTGTTCAAGGGGCGACTGGCATTCAAGCAGTACATCCCATCAAAGCGGCACCGTTTTGGACTGAAGTTTTTTGTGCTGTGCGACTGTGAGACTGGTATGGTGTTGGACATGATATTGTATTCTGGTACAGACATCAACATACTAGCTCAAGATGAACACGAGTTCTTCGGCAGTGTCGTAAAAACCCTGATAGAACCGTTGCTGAACAATGGGCACATACTGTTCACCGACAAATATTACACCAGCCCCTTGTTGACCAGATACCTCCTTGCCCACAACACTGGCGTATGTAGCACGGTGAAGGCCCACCGGAAGGAAATGCCAGTGTTCGGTATTGGTATAGCAGTGGGTGATTGCCAGCTGCGTAAGTATGACAATATACTGTCAGTGCGGTGGAAGGACAGACGCGAGGTGAATATGCTGACTACGATTCAAACTGGTGCCATGTTTGACAGTGGGAAAGTCCACTTTCAGACGCACTTCCCCGTGTATAAACCGGACTGTGTCATAGACTATAACATGAATATGTGCCTCGTCGATAAATGTGACATGATGTTTGGTGGAGTGGGGTGCGTGCACAATCTGTGAAGTGGACGAAAAAGTTCTTCTTCCACCTAATTGATGTTGCAGTGCTCAACTGCTTCAATATGTACCTGGTAAAATCTGGCAGTAAACCGTCAATACGTATATTCAGTGCAGGTGTTGTGTCACAGCTGCTTGTAAAATATGGCAAGGAGGGCTCCATTGCACCACGTGGGGTGCAAGCAACAATGCCACACACAGCTCCAAACAGACTGAGGGGGTTACGAGAACTTCGGAGTACGCATGCTCGAGTATATGCCAGGCACTGTATCACGGGAGAAGGGTAAACGTGCATGTATAGTATGAAGGGAACACTATCCGTAGAGAACAAAAGCGAAGATGCATCAGCACCTGGTGTGTGGAGTGCAAGGTGCCACTATGCCCCGTTGGTTGATTCGCTGCATATCACACACTCGCAGAGTACTGAGTGTGTTTATGGTGTGTGTATATAGTGTGTGATACTGTATAGTGTATATATAGACTAAATATATTACCATGATACATTGGAAATATGTGCAGGATAAGTGAACACTTTTGTGACGCACATAACACAGTGTCTACAGACAGTACGGATGTTCTAACTGCCATAATATGGTGTACATGTTTATTATACATAGGATAGGCATGTAAAAACAAAGAAAATGTATTTGGAACTGTGCGCAAAAAATGAATAAAAATATATTCACGACAGAGCATGCATCCTGCCCTGGGCGCCCGCCCTACTGGCCCCAGGGAGCTTATGCCACGGGTGCACAGGGAATGATGACGTCACGTGCCAACTTACGGTCCTCATAGCAGCCAAAGTAAGTACAATTTTGACTTTCTGTTATCATACCCGGAATCAGGGAAGGGTTTTTGACACTTTCAAAAATAAAAATAATTTTTTCCAGGGAATTTATTTCCTGCGCACTGTCATATTTGGAAGCCTAGCATTTGAAGGGTTAACCCTTAATCCTTAACCTTTAACATGCTCGGGGTCTAATATCCTGCTATCCACACAGGCGCATGTCATTTTGAAAAAAAAAAAAATTTTTTTTTTTTGCTAATTTGTTAAGTTCTGTTCACTGATCACGGGAAAAATAAAAAAAAAATTATATTGTACTTACTTTTGTTGCAATAGAGCCGAGAAGCTCGGTGATGACGTCACAATCTGCATGTTCGCTCATGCAGTACACGCCCGGGAGATGTTGCGCGCGGTCCTCAAACAGCCAGAGTTGCCACAAATATATTTTCGCGCTATTTATTTACAATGTCTAAGCGCATTTTATCTAATTTTTTTTCACTAATTGTGTTTCAAATACTGTTTGAACATATTTTGTATCAATAATTGTTGCATATTTGAGTATACACAGGCGCACACAAATGTTTTCAATTACGGCAATATAATATGTCATTACAGTCTATTATATTGTATGTTCTGCTTATATTTGTATATATTTACACACACGCACACGCTATCTGCTTATATGTTTACATATTTACACACTCGCACATGCTATACACACTTTGAAGCACACTTAGAAGATTTCTAGACTGTGGTAGTCATTGAAGCAGTCAACAGCACATAATGGGATACCACACGTTTCACACCATGTTTGCACAAGCTTCCGTTTCTTGTCTCTACGTGTCGTTGTTTTACACACCAAGCAATCACGTTGGGCTATTGCACGCTTCACACCAGGTGGCAAATACTTAAGTTTGTGTGCTAGGAAGCCTTCAGTGTGAGCGAGGCGTGGAGTACCAGCATGCTGCAACAGTGGGTTTATGATGGGCCGCTGAATACCTGGGACATCTTTTGCAAACTTTCCTAATAACTGTATTGCAGCATCAAATACAAAGTCACGGAAAGTGGGCTTACGTCCAGTTCTCACAAGGTACATGTTGAAACAGTTCAGCATGCTCATGTCCACAAGATGGAAGAACACTTTTTTCGTCCACCTACATGTCTTCCGCACACACTCTGCAGTGCCAATCATCATGTCTGATTTATCAATCAACCGCATGTTGATATTATAGTCTAAAACACAGTCTGGCTTATATAGTGGTGCGTTTGTTTTATGGCTCACTTTCCCACTGTTCACCATTGTTCCATCATGAATTGTTGTCAACAAGTTCACCTCTCTTTTGTCTTTCCACCGAACTGACAGAATGTTATCACTTTTCCTTCTCTGACACTCACCAACTGCAATGTCGTTGTCAAACACAGGCATTTCCCTTCGTTGTGGCTTTACTGTACCAACCAATCCGGTTCTATTTTCTAGCAAGAACCGAGCTAGCAAGGGACTTGTATAGTAATTATCTGTGTATAAAATGTGTCCCTTGTTCATCCACGGAGCCATGATGGTCTTCACTACACTCCCCGAGAATCCATGTTCGTCGTTACCGGGAATGTCTACATCACTAGCCGAGTACAGAATCATGTGTAACACGTATCCTGTCTCACAATCACAAAGAACAAAAAATTTCAGGCCAAATCGGTTTCGTTTTGAGGGAATGTACTGTTTGAATGGAACACGTCCCTTGAAAAGTATGAGAGATTCATCAACCACCAGCTTCTGTGCTGGTACGTAAAAATCTCTGAATTTTCCAATAACATCGTTCATGTAGTGCCTCACTCGCCACAGTCTATCATCAGGTGTTCGGTCCTGAACACTTCCAAAATGTAGACACCTGAGGAGTATCTGAAACCTGTCTCGTGACATATATTTCCCGAATAAAGGTGTTGGTATTGTCTTGTCCTTGCTCCAATAGTCATTTATTGCATGTTTGTGACAGTGCTTCATCAACAAACAGAGTGCCAAAAACACATACATTTCCGCCACTGTGGTATTTTTCCAACGCTGCAGTCGTGAAAATTCTGTGATTTCCCTCTCAATCAGGTAAGCAGCATGCAGGTTCGTTTGGTGTACAATGTATTCCATGAGTGGTTCATCATAGAATGCTGTAAA